TCTGGTCCTTTCTGTTTATGAGTATGCGATGGCGATCTTGACTCTCAGCGATAAGCCGATGGAGAATAGCTTGTTAAAAGTGTGTGACTAGAAAAAAACACTGTGCAGGAAGTCAAAGAAGAATAAGAAACCAACACAGGACTGCTGTCGTCTGTTGCTACACGCTGCCGGATTTATTGAGGAGGGGATCTGAGCACTTATGGACCGAATAGTTTGATGTGCAAAGAGGATAATCTGTTGACTAAGTAACTAACCAACTATCTTTGTTCATTTATGTAAAATGTTATAACTGGGATGATTTTTCTGATGTTTTCCCTTATGTTAGAACGGGCTTTTCTGTTGTTTTCTTGCCGCTTGTATTGGTCGTCTTGTTTGACATTCAAGGATGTCCCTCAGACACTACTGTTTAGAAGTGGCCACCATGTGGATATATCAGAACGGTTGTAAGTAAATCAATCAGAATACGTTTTTTGTCATTTTTGTGTGATGTTCGCGAGTCACCATGCAACGGGCATCTGGGAAGTATCGCCGGGGTCTTGCATGTGATTATTTTTAACACCTTCCAAAAAGAATCTAGTTAATAAAATATCTTGTCACCGTGTTACTGTATAGTGACGATTCACCATGATCTGTAAACACTTGAGCTTCAGGAAATAGCGAAATTGTATTGCTATTTATTCAATACTTTCCTGTCTACACACACCATCAGTTGTATGCAGATGTCTGAATTTTTTTTTTTTTTCCTGTCGAAAGTGAAGAAATTTCACTATTTTACTGTTTTTTTTTTTTTTTTTTGCTGTTGTTTTGCTGTCACTCCACCTCCCCAATCCCCCTTTCCCCCTCTCATCACTGTTTCTACTATGTATCATTATATAATTTTGTTGCTTTTATAATTTTTGGTGGCACTCTCTTAACATAGAAACAATAAACAGTTTAAAGAAGTCAAAAGTAACCGATTTAAACACAACAAGAATTCGATAAATTAAAACTGGGGAAGATAGGATACTTTAAGCCTCTTAATTATTGATTATATAACCCGTCATCCCCTTGTGCGATGCAATTTTTCTTTAATTAGAAGCCCCACACTGGCTCTTGCTAGGGGCTGCAATATAGCCCGGCCATTAAAATGGTCTAATGGCTGAACGCGGTTTCAGGAACCTCTCCACGGGTGATATTCAATTCATCTTCATCCCACATGGTGGCACTTTGTGTCATTGGGTGTTTATCGCTAGTGTGATGTCCTGGTGGAGTAAAATGTACCACTATTGATACTTGAAGACCTGCGGAACAATATTTTTGTTTTGTTAATAGTCTTAACCGGTTGTACTTCAGGTTACTCGGTAACCGTCTGGAGCCCTAATAAAACCTACGGGTGAACCGGGTAGTGTCTGAGACTTGAGGAATGACGCACTGCACTTTGCTTCACACAGTGTTAATGGCTTAGTGGGGCCCAGTGTCACTCACTCAATTGTAGGAAATACAGTTTAATGGCATTCGGGAACGAGTAATAGGTTTACAGATATGGCAGCAATACAACAGCAGCCCTCGAGTTATTTTAATTCTTCTTCCTCGTTGACTTTCATACTTCAGTGGTAATGTCTCTTTGAAAATGGTTGTCATTTGCAGTTGTCTGAAATTAGATTTAACTTGTCTGAACTGTAAACGGCGATTCTAAGAGACTTAATCTATTGTAATCAGAGTGACTGACTTTCTACCACACTAGGACATCACACAAGCTATAAACACCCGATGACACAAAGTGCCATCATGTGGATGAGGATCGCCGTGGAGAGGTCACAGAAACCGTGTTCAGACATTTGGCCATATGTATGGCCTGCCTATATTGCGGCCCCTGGCAAAAGCCAGAGTAGGGCTTCAAATGACAAAAAAATTTCGTCCTAAAAAGGACGAAACTGGTTATAATGATCGAATAATAAATAATCTCATCCTTAAAAGGACGAAAATGGATTATAGTAATCACAGTGCTTAAAAAACCGACCCTTTTAGATGTAATTTATTGTTTGTGTAAGTTTAAATTATAAATTTTCTTTAATATATGTATATTATTTTTAGAGCAAGGTTTGAGTTTTGGCTATCCTAAACCCCAACGCAAACTCTGACCTGAAGCAATATTAAATTTTAAAGAACATTATTACAAGAACGTTAAGAAACAGTGGATTGTGTCCCTTATAGTCGCCATAAACAAATATTAGATTATGTCCCTTAGAGTCTTCTCTACAGTGTTGCATTTATTTCTTTTAGCATTTTTTTTTTTTTGAAGTTGATTTATTAAGAAGCACATAATGATTACTATTGTTAAATCTTTCAGGACATTTTGTTTCTGGAGTTTGGACTATTGATTTTAAGCTGCATTTTTTTTTTTTTTTTGCTGTTGTGTGGCTACAATATGACATAGCTAAGTTCTTCCTGAAGAAAACGTATTGGCTGTATAGTGACAGATAATATATCAAATTAATGAGAAATTATTACAGAATGCATCTAAACTATTCAAGTATCAGTATTACAACAATAACATGTTAAAATGACACAACATTCAAGGATGTTAGACACACATTAGGATTTTTTTACACGTGAAGTCATCAAAGACAACAGCTGTATGGACAGATCTGGACCTTTTCCCTTATCATTTGGACTGGAAAATCACCTAAAATTTTTCACACTAAATTAATTACCAACAAATTGAAAATTAAACCTATTGGCTCACCATGCTTGGAAAACGATAATACTTTCTCTCACTAATTATAGTTTTTCGAAACATATTCATACAAATTTATTTTCCTAGCAAATAACAATATTAGAGTGTCTGAATTTAGCACCACTTAATTGGAGATCCATCCGAACATGGTGGATTCAGAAGCCTGTAAATAAGCGATATGTCCTTAAAGGTTTAGGCCCCTTATAGGCTCAAGCCCCTAGTAAGTATTTGATCCCCCAACATGGGCGCCACACAACACCTCTCCCCTGCACCTGATCAATTATCTAGCCAAAACTAGGGGTGAGGTGGCTACAAGGGAGGGGGGGGGGGGAACGCTAAGCCTTGTTTAAGTGCTTAACAATAATATGATGAATAATGAAAATATATGAAATTTATAAACACATAATTTTTATCAGAATTTCTATGCATGATTAAAGTGGACAGTTTGGCTCACCTCAAAAAGAAATTACTGCAGGGAAGTGTGGGTTAGTAGGCTACTAATTTCTTAATTGCTTCAAACCATTGCACACACTTATGTGTACATACTGCCTCAGTGTAAGAGTTTACCTGTTTCTTTAGCACTGATTATGATGATCATGCCTACTACAGTCAGAATTTTCCCTTATCTTTTTTAGCAGCCAATTCACATTCTCCCTACATTCTAGGTGACTAAAACAACTGAATAAATTATGGAGTGGGACAGACAGAACTACAAAAATTAGATTTCTAAGAGCATGCATCTTTCTCATTGCAACTTATGCCTGTGAGACTTTGACACTTACTAAACGAGCTGAACAGCGCATAAGTGCCTTTGAATACAAATGTTACAGATGGGTTCTAAGAATATCATAGGTTAAAAAAAATAACAATTTTTATGAAGTTGGGTCAGCCCTAGAGCTGTACAGGTTAGAAAAAATCCTACCATTTCTGAGGATTGGACTCCGACCGCTGTCTCATGAGGCAAGTGCACTAATCACTCTGCCGTTTGTTAAAAATATTTTTGTTGCTGTATCTGTTTTTAAACCCCAGTTGGGCAGTCTTAAAAAAGGCACATACACGAAAATTATATTTGAGTGATTTGTGCAGTCTCTCACAGGCTTATATGCATAACGGTTCTTAACCCTTTCACATAAAGTTTTTTTTTAATTTGTTCTGACTAAAAAAAAAAAAAAAAATAAGACAGAAACATAGGTAAAGTAGTTTCCAGTAAGAGATGGGAAATGAAATCCATACCCACCCATGTAACTTCAAGGGCTGCAGCTCACCCTTTAAAACTGCTGGCCAAACTTTATGTTGGTATGTCTTAATAATGGCTCCCGTTGGTATAAAAGTGCCCCTGCCTATAGGGATTTTAAAATTTGTGTTTTTGCCTATCATCATTATTCATTCTGTATATTACATTTTTTTTCAAATTGCTCACCTTGTGAATTATTCAGCTCTGTACATAATAAACCAGGAGTCCTGCTGATTTATTAGTCAAATGTTTAATTACATTTGAGACAGCAAAAACTGATAGAGATATAAACATCTGAATACAGAAGGCAAGAGGACCTTTCATTGCACTAGGAAATTTGTGGTCAACAGAAATTAAAATTAATACTAAACATAAACATTTTCAATTCCAAAATCAAATCAGTATTGTTGTGTGGAGCGGGCACATCGTGAACAACTGAAACAATTACTAATAAACTACAAACACTCATTAACTGATGCCTGCGCAGAATAGAGGGAATAAATGTATCTATAAATAGAATCAGTAATGTTGAGCTTTGGGAGAGAAGTAAACAAGTTCTAGTGGACCAAGAGGTGAAGAAAAGGTACTGCTTTTGGATAGGTCACACATTGAGAAAACCTGAGCACAATACAATTAGAATATCTTTGCACTAGAACCCACAAGTGCATAGAAATAAAGGCAGACCAAAAACACATAGAGAGGTTAGCTAGAAAAGGAAGTTAAAAAATATGGGGAGGGCATAGGTAGAGCTGCATGCAATAGTGAAGTATAGAACGACTTGGTGTGAGTGGGCCTATGCTCCTTTGGGGGGTAGAAGGCAGAAGAAGAGACAGCAAGCTGATATTTCCTCCTTACTTTGTGTTGAATTTATGGCTGATTGTAATTGTAGGGCCTAATGGGCCATGTCATTGTAGTTTCTTGTTTCTGTTGTGTTTTTTTTATTTTTTAATCTACTGATCATGACTAGCAAAAGTTGTTTGGCTCATGTTTATAGAAAATAGCACATATTTTGTTGATATTATAATCTGATGCACCTTGTTTCTTCACCAGGACTGCCAGGGCTGTGCACCACCGTGTATATGTGAGGGACAGAAGGGCTTGCCTGTAAGTTATTTTTTTCTGTAACCTGTGTTGTGTATGTGGATAGTTGATTGCAAAGTTCACCTGTACAAGAGAAAGGATGTTTGATTTGAATAATACTTTTGGGTTTATAAAATACTAAACTCCACATGTCCTAACCAGTTGCTACACAAACCTACTCGGCAGTCAGTCACTTTTACTACATTTACCCTAGACACTTGTTAACACTGTGTGACTTAAAGGAAAATATTCTAGGCAGTTGACAGTTTATGGCTGAAAGAAGAAAGTGCTTTGCATCTTCAAAAGATAAATTTACTTTAACAATTGCTTTGATTCATGAGATTATTACAGTCTGCCAGCAGTCTTCTTTTTTCTTTTTTTTTTATCTCAGTGATACCAGGTTCTAGCTCATAGTCGTGGTTTTCTTTATTTGTCTTGCGATTCTCAGGTGGCTTGGGTAATGGATTGATTAATCTTTTTTGCATGTTTCAGCTACACCATTTATCACTTTCTTCCTTAGTCTTACCCACGTCTTCTCCCTCGATGGTCTGCTGTAAAATAAATATCATATGCACTGGCTGCATTCTCACTAGAGGGCTGAACCATTTTTTCTTTGTCTCTTAGTTTAATTCGGAAATGGTCTTATTCCGGCTTTCTGCCAACAGTGACAGTATGAAAGCAATTTTCTCCATTGTAGATTCCAAGAAGAGGCAAGCATGTTGTGATGTATGAGGGTCCATTGAAAATGAGCGAACAGTGAGAAGGCACAAATAGATCATTAAGGTCTGAGGAGAGTGGCACTACATAGAGTGCCTGGCCAGCGCTGAAAACCTAAGGAGAGGTGAGATGGATATACAATCAGACAGTTACCGGTACCATTGAAATTGTAACTCTTTGCTTACTGCTGAAGATAGGAACAGAGCGCTTACAGGAGTGTCCTTAGTACTATGATGTTGATTCTTAATTCAACATTAACTTTCAAGAAGACACAAACAACAGATTGTACAATTTATTACCTGGCATATTTCACCTATCCTATTAACTCTGATTGAAAAGGTAGTTGAACAAAAAAAATGAGGAAAGTAAAATCCTAATCTGTACAGTAGCTGGCAACAGCTCTACCCTCATGGCCATACACCCCCAGGCTCAAAGATTCTCCTGCCTAAACAACACAAATGGTAAACAAAGCATAGCATTAATATTTTTTAGCATTAATGTTTTGAAAGTTAGCTACATTTTAGCATGATGAAAATTTGCATTTCAATTTAAACCATTCATTTGTTTACTTTATCTTGTTCATGAGCCTGGGATTTAGGACCATGAGTGTAGAGCTGTTGCCAGGTTCTGTGCATGTTGATCCAAAGTCTGTCACTTTTCCCTTGTTTGTTGAGTAGCATCCAGATCCTGTAAAAAAGGAAAAAAAAAAGAAGTAAACAACCCTTTTTTAGCCTAGGCCAGTGGCTCTCAGCCTTTCTAGTGCTATGGCCCTATAATGTGTTTTCCAATGGTCTTAGATAAGGGTCGGGACCCACAGGTTGAGAACCGCTATGCTAGGCTCAAATTTTTATAGATTAGCTAGCACCCAATGGGAGATGGGGGTCAACATTATGCTGTTCACCTTTATTTCCCATGACATTACCTGGTACCCATTTAAAGTTAATAGCCAAGATCAGTTTTGAACGAATCCATGATGGATCAGATGAGCATCTAGACATTATGTTGTGGCTGCTGCATCCAATATGTTTATCAGTCATAACCCAATAATCAGGTAATACAACTGTGATATTGATATTGATTGATTTTGTCATAATTATTATATACTTTTTGTCGCCAGGGTGCTTCTGGCTTACCAGGCCTGCGTGGTCCCGAAGGGTTGCCTGGCTTCCCTGGGCCTGAAGGACCTGTTGGAGCAGCAGGCTTGCCTGGAGACCGAGGAGAATTCGGTGCTCAGGGAGAGAAGGGATATCGAGTAAGTATCCATTTAGGTTTACTTAGAATATAAGCTATTGTTTCTTGAACTGATGTGAGAGCTAAATATTTTTTTTCATGAATTGATGTTTGAATTAAGTTATTTGCTTTTCTGAAATAATGATGGGGAAGTCGAAGTACAAAACACATTTAAAAGTTCCCTTCTTGCCATTGGTGCATCAGACTAAAAATTTTTTTTGGGGTAGACGAATTGGCATTTGGTGGATGATGTGGATAAATGGAAGGCAAATGCTACTGTGCTAACACAGCTCCCTGCTGTGATATTCTATGGGCTCCATATATACTGTGCTGCACTTTTGTGAGGTGACATCTGAGGCACAGAGCTAAGAACCTCACAGATCTCATGGGACATTCTAAAAACACATTGACAGCATTCACGTTTTCAATAGTCATTAACAATTGGGAAGTAGGCTGTGGTTCAGATCGGTATGCCACAAGAGAAACTGCACATATTTTCACACTGTTTACTATTTATTTGTTTGCTGGCATTCTTTCATAGGCCCCTAATGATGTTTACCTTCTGTGTTGATGTCCCTGTACATGATGCTACTGGTGTCAGGATGGGCTAATTCTCTCTCAGGGCTTCAGTTGTGGAAAATGGTAACCTCCACCTGACTTGCAGGACTTTTAGAATGAGATCTACTAGCATTAAATTGGCTTAGCAAGCTTGCAGTAGATTTCATATTGCTACAGAGGAAGTAAATTAGACTATATTTACTGATAAAAATGGCTGGAGGGTGTTTGGACATAAACTGCAGTTCCTTACACCTCCTGACAAGTTTCAGACTAGCCCAGGTAACAAATAAAGCAGTTATTCTACTAGTTCAGTGATGGATTGAAAAGAAAAGACTCTCTGGGTTAAAAGGTTAAAGATTATATCTGACACCATCACTACCTTTTCTCCCCTTCCTTCCAAGATATTGGATTGATCCTTACATATAAAATGGGTGTCAGTGATGCCTGTGAGAAGGAAATGAAAACAATCAAGAAAGCTGATGACTCATTTTCATAATGCTGTTCTGTAACTCCCCCCCCCCCCCCTCTCTCTCTCTCTCTCTCTCTCTCTCTATATATATATATATATATATATATATATATATATATATATATATATATATATATATATATATATATATATATATGGTAAAACTAATGTTAGTCTCTCAATTTATACAGTGTTACACACTAGCTCACTTCTGATTGGTCAAACTTCAGCCAAGCTCACTTCTGATTGGTTGACCTTGCCACAAGGTTACGGGGGTTTCCTGCAGTGCCGTTGATATTGTGTTTTTTCAGCACTCTAGGGCTTTTAACACTCCAAAAACATTGACAAACTAGGTCTAACAAAAAACCTCTTTAGAGAGTGATGAAATCTATGTCACAGGAGTTCTCTTTCTCTGAATAAAAACTGAAATGCAAGACAACCCAGAAAGCAAACAACAGAGCGGCAAACCCGTAACCTGCAGGAAGGTAGACCAGCCCAAAAAACTTATGAATGAAACGTGACCTACTTTGGGGAGACTAACGTTTGTATAACCATATTTATATATATAATGTGACAGTATCTTATGTGAATTATCTTCTTGCACTATTATGTATTGAGAGACAAAGTCTTTGTGTTTTGCCTGGAATTGTCATAACATCATTTGCATGGGTAAATAATGAGAGTTATTCTAACTTTCTATCCACAGGGACAAGAAGGATTGTCAGGATTTCCTGGCATCACAGGAATTCCAGTAAGTTATTATAATAGTTTTTATTGCTGTGACTAGTTCAATGTAATGTTTTAAATTTGTTGATGGTAAAATTCTAACATTATTTTATTTGGTGCAAGGTAATATCTTAGTTTGCCAATCATAACACTACTCAGATTAATTGTATATGTAATTTTATGTGCAATGTAATGTCTAAAGTTTGCCAGAGATATTTCATATTACTTGAACTGATAGAGTGTAATGTCTAAGGCTTGCCAGTGATAATAATTCTCATATTACCTGAACTGATACAGTTTAATGTCTACAGTTTGCAAGTGATAATACACTCAGATTACTATAACTGATAAAATGTAAAGTTTTCCAAAGATGACACCTGATATTACTTTAACTGGTTTAATGTAATGTTTGCCAGATGTTTTACTCTCATATTAATTTATCGGTAGCTTCTAGCTTCTACAGTAGTAAACATTAATAGGTTTTCTCAATGTTTATCCTGTCTCAATGAACCTCTTGATTGACAGCAGTTTTTAACTTCAGCCTATAAACTTTGCATTAGTGATACTGTCAGGCTGTTTTAGGCAGAATATTCTGGACAGGAACCAGTAATGAATATTTGTAGTTTATTAGCAAATGTCTTAGTCATTATCTATATGTTTAATCCACATAGCTTAGCTAAATATTTCAAGTTTGGAACTAGAATACATTTCTTGTGATTTCTGTAGATTTCTTGTACTGTGAAAACTCCTTGCCTTTTTTAATTCTCTGTTTAATATCTGAGTCTGCACCCTGTACCCTTTTTGCTCTCCTTGAGTTTCCATTTGAAACAAGAGCATCAGGCAAATTGTTCTAGATGCTAAACCCACATTTATAAAGGCCAGCCAGCAATGTATGGGTCCTATTTTTCTGTACTGCTGCTTGAATAGGTAGATCTTGTGCTTCTTCTCAGGGTTCACTGTCTGTAAACTCCAGCCAAAAGTTCTGGTTGTTATTCATCCACTTATGGACTTTGGAACTTGAGTTCTGCAGAGCACATCTGTGTTACAGATATGGTTTATTTGCATGCTGACTATTGGTTCCTGCCTCCTAGGCAGATGCACTCTGACTTCAAAGGCAAAACCTCCAATCAGTTAGTCACCTTTTACGACATTTTCCTAAGTAAAAGGGGGAAGGGGGGGGGGGGGGGCAGTAGGTCTACACCACCCCTCCCTGACCCCATCCCATCCCAAAAATGGAAGCCTGGAACCCACACAGGAAGAACATGAAATGATTCGACTGCTTTAAATGAAATTTGATCAGAGAGATTAGATTTATAATTTTTGAAAATGTATTTGTAATATTTTTGTCTTTCCTCTGTATATGTTTACATCCCCCACCAAGTATGTTTAATTTACTGTGTGGCACAGTACAGCCTCTCCTGATGTAATTTATGTGTAATGGTTACAGATAAGTAGCGATACGTAATCAGTTCTGGCAAAATTCCCTTTGAAAATGCTAAACAATTTATCGCCTTCAGAGATATGTGTCATTCTTTTTCTTCTTTTTTTTCAGGGATCCAAATGGTTGCTGGTGTTTTAGTTGTGTTTCTTCACGTCTTCCAAATATTTAAACACTAAAGGCACTATTCAAGACAATGATCATTAACTTTTTCTGTGTTTATAAGAAGATTACTTTCCCTGGTTGCTTTTGTAAATATATTGAAAAAAATGTGTTCAAAAGAATTGAGTAACTAAAATATGTACAGATTATTCTTTGTAAAACTTTTTATATATACCTTTTATTCCCTAATAGAGCATGAGCCCTCAGCTGGCTCTCACCGCAGTATCTTACACATTGAAAGCATGTTCTGTCCTCCCCATGTCATGTCTGTCTTTTTCCACCTTCTTTTCTGATTCACTTCCCTGTGGTTTTATAAAATTGGTATTGTCCGCCTTTATTCTCTTTTTTTTTTTTTTTTTTTGGGTCCAAAGGAAACACCAAACATAAAAGATTTCAAAACAATGAATAGAAATGTGGAATCCATATGTTTGATATATAATTGATGGACTGTTATTCTGTGTCCTCTTGTCTCATTCTTCTGTCTATGTGATTATCTGGGCATCCCTGCCTCTCTTTTCTGTCTGTCAGTCTCTGTCTTTCTTTCTCTCTGCTTATCTGCATCCCTCTCTCCTTCTATCGTTATAGTTATGTGTAGCCATTTTTGTGTGTGCTTTTCTGTCATGAGAAGCGGCTAGACATATCTAGAAGCAGGAGTTCAGACTCCAGTGGTGATTATTTCTTAGCCTGTAGAATGAACACAAGGCCTTCAAAAGCAAGTGGTTTGCATATTTCAACCCTGTAGACTTGAGTCCCAAGAGACTACAGCATATGAAAAAATAATGCATTAGTAAAAGTTATAATTTTCCTTTTTTTTAAAAATTCCTTTTGCTTTTTTTTCGCTACTTATTTGTTCTATCAATTTGCCCCTTGCTAGTTATTTGTGTATTTCATTATCTAAACTTCTGTTTGTGTTTTTGATGCTGTTATCAGTTTGCCTGTACTGAATTGTTATTTATGTAGATTTATACTATTATTTCTAGGGGCAGCCAGGTCTGGAGGGTCCAGTGGGTCCTGAAGGTTATCCAGGCTGCAATGGATCAAAGGTAGAGTGCCCGGACTGTAGCTTGTATTTGTGCCTACATCTCTGAGTTCACAATAAATGTCATAACAATGTCTTCCAAAAATGGTTTAGATAATTCAATGGCTAATATTGTAATAATCCTATGAAATGTGTTATCAAAATGAATTGTGCTATTTGTACCAACATTGTAATGAAATTACAGAGAAACAGCTTGAGTACAGTTGAGCAAAATGAACAAATGACCTTATTTACTTTGACAAAACAGGTCACCACAAAATCTGTTGACAAATCAGCTGACTTCACTGTTTAGTCTCTAACAAGAAGTCTAGAGCCATTTAAGCGGTCAGCATTTGGCATTAATGGCAACATGATGCCTTGGACTGTGTTGTATGGAGGAGGAATGTTGAATTAAGAGTTGACATCATAGCACGCGGAACACTCCCATAAGCGCTCCATTTCCATCTTAAGCAGCAAGCAAAGAGTTCCAAAATCTGATAGTACCAGTAGTTGTCTGATTTGACATCCATCTCACCTTTCCCTTGAGTGTTAAGCATCAGCCATCCCCTGGTAACTCTCTGCCTTGCCATTCTCCTTAGACCATAATAATCTGTACTTGCTCCTAAAGGGCCCTCACAACATCTAGCTTGTCATACATCAGTTCACCACCAAGTAGTGTAGAACTGGCCAGTCTATCTGCCTGCTCATTTTCCAGCATACCCTGGAGGGGATATCCTAAGGATGCTAACCACCCGGGATCTCTGAAGTGATACTTGCCCCTCTGCACGGAGGAGGAAAATGAGTAAGAGAATAACGACAGTAAAAAACAACAATTGAAGACAGTTTATGAGCTGAGTGTCTGAAAGAAAAAAAACTACAGTAAAAGCAAGCAAAAGTAAGAGTGGTCCTGAAGTTTCCTGCACTTATTGAGGAAGACTTCCTAAACATAGGCTAGCCTTGCTAATCACTCTCATTATGGCCATGTGATTCTCATGCTTTGCATAATGTTGTGTGAACTTTTTTATTCTAAAGTTGTTATTGTGTCTGTTCAGGGTGAAAGAGGTCCAGCAGGTTCACCAGGACCCCAGGGCTACCCGGGAGGTGCGGGTCTTCCAGGTTTTCCGGGTATGAAGGTAAGGTTCATCATTATGTATCTATAATGCATGCTTATGTGTATTAGAATAATGTTATAAAGAGAAGAAGAATTATTAAGTCTTATTAATAAATATTATGTGTTATTAAATATTATAATTATTTATATATGCATATGCAAATGCCAAACTGCCCAAGATCTTATTTCTTGGACAGAGGAAGAAAAAGAAAGATATAAGTGAGTTTAGCATCATAGCATGAAAAAGCACCATAGTTAGAATTGATTGACAGTACATGAGACAGACAGCTGTAGACAAGCATGGTGATAAATGCCACACAGCTTGGATTATATGAAGAAGATTTACTTTTATTGCCTGTGTGTTTAAGGAAGCCCATGGAAACCAATGAATAGCGATTTGTGACAGTGTAATCTACCATGCTAAAGGGGCGATTCAAGAGGGTTGACATCAGACTGGTTTTTTCATTCCCATAGAAAACTTTGCTGCATAATCCAACCAGCCATGAAAGGTCTGCAAAGTAATTCACATGGGTTATTTGAGGGCCTCTGCTCCTCTTGGAGATGAAAGACAGTAAAAGAAGAATAAACATTTATATGCTGCATTTTGTGGCCACATGATGAGAAGAAGAGAACTGGAACATTGTGCAATAACTCTTTTATTCCCAGACAATCATAACACTTGTTTATGGGAGGCAACATTCACACAGAAACCCATATATTTATCACTTCTGCTATGACCAGATATGCTAAACTTTTTTTTCCCAAGAAGCCTGTTTTTACTGTCTTTAATATTAAAAGGTTTGCTATTCAGCTAATTCCTTGCTTTAAAAGGGTTGGGGAAAGGGGGTGTCCTACCTCTTGCTTTGTTCCTGGTTTCAGAACCACCCGTGATATCAGCAATTCGCAGATGACATTGATCTCATGACTGGTTCTGAAACAACTCTAAGAACCTACTACAAAATTAGAGACAGTCTGTGGTAAATGTTGGCTCTGTGGCTCAGTCGATGCGAACGCTTCGTAATGCCGGGGTACCAGGTTCGATCTCAGCTGCAGGCCATGCACCTTGCATTGGTTTCGATAGTGGTATCAGGGGGCTGACCGTCCAGAAAACAATGGCAAACTACTGGACATAAATTTGCCTAGAGAAATCACACAACAGCCAGGGGCTGCTGGGGTAGGTTCTGCAACATCCTGTAAAGGATACACAACTAACCTTAACCTGTGGTAAATATGGCATGGAAATTATTGCTGAGAAAAGCAAGATTCTGGTAGTCACAATAATTAAGTACTTACCAACATGCAGATAAAAGGGGAAGAAACTAGAAAAAGTTGAAAACTTTAAAATATCTTGGCTCCCACATATGTAATGATGGCAGCTGTACCACAGAGATCAAGACAAGACTTGATATGGCAACAGCCGCGATGTTGCAGCTGAATACGATGTTTAAGAACAAAATGAGCATCACAGTTAAGGTCACTATGTACAAATCACTGGTATTGTCTATTTTCTTGTATGGATGTGAAAGTTGGACTCTCACTGTGGAAATGGAAAGGATTCAGGCTTTCGAATGTAATTGCTGAGAAGAACCTGGAAGACAACATCAAAAAGTGGACAGGACTAAGTTATCATACACCAAGCAGAAGACAGTAAAAGATGGCGGGTTTTGTGTACTAGTGCATCCATCAATACACCTCCACCACCCGAACGGGTCAAGGGTTGTGTTATGGTATGTTTATTTCTGTGGGAGGATAACAGCAAGAGATGGATGAACAGCAGTCAGAGAGAGTGTTCATCCAGAGCAAAGGCAGACCATTTTGGAAGACCATTGCAGTCAACCTTCATTGTTTAGACAACATCTGATTGATTGGTTGTTAGTTTGTTATTTGAATTATATAGTTCCTAATGTTCATAACTTGAACATGTAAACCACTTTGCATTATTGATCATGTTTGTCACAATTTCAGGGTGATCCGGGCGAGTTTCTTGGGATTGGTATTGGTTTTAAAGGTGACCCAGGAGAACGAGGACGGCCAGGTCTTGATGTAAGTGATGTTGTTACTTGAGAAATAACAAACAGTTTGTGTTTTTATAAAATAGGCTGTTGCCTGTTGGGTATTTCAAATCCTTTTGCTGACTTTCTTCTCCTTCTTCGTCTTCTGCTTTTGCCCTTGAAAGGGAAGTCTGCAAATTGTGGCCTAGTTTTCAATTAAGCTGCAATATATGTGGCTTTTGGTCCAACACATCTGATTTCAACAAACTGGTAATTAGTTGCTTTTTATGTTATGTTTGTTGATGGTAGTGAGTCTACACTACCCTCCTCCCGCTGTTCCCTGTAACTTCCATGGGGATTTACTGGCTTTGAAATATATGATTATGTACCCAAATTTTAGGCTGTACTTATGTGTTTGTTTTTCTTTCCTTCTATTGAACTTCCTGGTCATGTTTTTTTTAAAATCCAAATTAACTGTACATTAATATGTATTAATTTTTTATGTAAGGTGATCTTCATTGAATGTTACACATTTATGTACTAATTTTTGTGTTTTTTATGTTTAAATTTGTGTGATATATTCCTTTTTTAAATAACTACATGAGTTATGAGTTAGATTATCTTCACAGCACTCCCGAACATATTCATCAGCATTGTGTGGTTAATAGTGCCAGTCTTTTGTTGGTTAACAAGACAGTGTGCTTCTCGTGCTTGGCTGTGCCGATCTTAACTCCTTATTCAGGTATTCTTGGCAGTTATGTGGACACGTTTCTTCCAAAATCCTCAGAATGTCCTATCTCTTTAAGGGCAATGACAATATCTGCGTGATCCATGGTGCAGATCATCTTCAATTAATGCAGCACATGCAAGTCTATTTGTCCCTTTTAAGCCTATTGCCCTTTTTCTTAAGGAGCATGTGATGCAAAGGGTGCTTCAGATCTGAGCTTATCTTGAAGTATGCACGAGCCCTCCAGATCTTGATCCTGTAGTTCATGGTAGGGACGTCAAGAATGTACCTCATTACTACACAAGAGGTATCTCCAGTGCATCCCAGAATAATGTGCATTGCTTCATTTGCATCTTCTCAAGTCTTTCAGTCTGAGTATGGCTCACTGTCAGCCATACTCAAATAACTACACTTCACTGCTTTGGCAATGATCGGCGGGCCACTTGCTAGGCCTCTGCGGGCCAAATCTGGCAGCGGGCCACTAATTGAATAGCCCTGATGTAAAAATAACAACCATAAAGAAATGAAGATCAGCTAATATCACTCATCAGAAAGAACACATCCACTAAACCCATGCCTTCCTCCTCTTTTTCAAGCACTTCGCTGCAAAACCTGGAGGAAAAAATTCAAGGCAGAAGAAGAAGAGTGTTACTGTAATACACTGTAATACACAGTTTTATTTGTTGTAAGTCTAATACAGTAAAACAAACAGTTATTTCTTACATTTAAGTATTTAATTGGTACAATGAATGACTTTAATACCAAAATAAACATATTTTTCTTACATTTATGCAATACAACTATTTATTTGTTAAATTTATGAGCATAATCCGGTAATACAAAGATTATTTTCTTATATTTTTGCAATACAAATATTAATTTATGATATTTATGACTGTAATACTGATTGTAAAATCTATTCTGCTCTTTGTTTTTGAATCTTATCTAGGGTGTGGCTGGCATACCTGGTGAAGAAGGAGATGTTGGACCTAGGGGTGATGAAGGTCCACCAGTAAGTTATTGTTGGTGTTACACATGTGTCCCATTACAGGCTTCAGATAGCTTTCATGTCATTATGTAAAGTTTGTCATGGATTGGCTAGTCAGAACAGTTGTTGGATGTCATTGTGTATAGTTTATAATGAATTGGCTTGTCAGAACAGTTGTCGGATGTCATTTGTCAGTTGTAAGTGGAAA